GCAGAAGCGTGCCCAGGACTCAGCTGACACCCGGTCAGCTATCCTGTATCGTTCGTTGGTGTTGTACTCGGACGGCAGTATCCCGATTGACTTTGGAGCTGACATCGGATAAGGCCTCCTCGTCCTCGGCTGCCGAGTCTAAGGCAGCCGAACCAACTCCCGATCCACTCACTGGATCGCGGCGAATGCGTGGTGAAGATCCGGGTGCTTCAAGTTCGAAGCGTCCGCGTACTGGAGAAGAGGTACAGCGGTCACCAGTGCTGGTGACGCCCTCTTCTCATTCTCGCACAGCAAGTGATGTTGCAGTGCGCCTTGCTTGGATGCCTTCTGCATTCGAGATCGCTGACAGGTCCGGCTCGACCTCACCGCCGAAACCGATACCCTTGTATGTTTGCAGCGCCATCAGCGATGACGCTGAAGCTGTCAACATGCACTTTGATCCGTCTACGAATCAAAGCCGTGATTACTGATTCGGACTCTTTCATTAGTTTGCTTAAACTTAGATTACCTATATTTACGTCTCATAAGTATAGATTTACTTAAATAAGAAAGCAAAAGCCGATTTATGAACTGTTATTTATGTCAATGTTTTGGCTTTGGGTTTCCTCCTAAAGTGATATTCTAAATGAAAGGTATTTGCCAACGAGTGGTTGGCAGAATCCGGCAAGCTAATTGGTTGAAAGATACCGCCTTCTAACCAAACAGGAAGTCTAAATGCACACAGACCAGTGGGTCTGTCAAACGTAACCATTGGTGTATCCCACACCAACGTGAAAACCATTGTCGTAATCAAGTGGCTTCATGTAGCCACTTGCGTGTAACCCTGGTACACTAACACTTTCAAAACTCAGCGGCAGTGACGTGAGCTTGGGACGGAACTGAAGATCTTGAATAACGGTAAACGACCCGACTCCAAGTGAAAAGTCGATTGTGGTGATCCACTTAATGGCTTCGTCGATATCAGCAACAGCTTGTTGGCTTTCGACTTCATTCCACATGAGTTCGCTAACCAACGTTGTCCAAGTATTATACACGCTCAAGTTGCGACCTAGTTCTGAGTCTTTTTGGATATCCAGCCGCAAAACTTAATCAATGGCGACGCCGAGATGGAGGCTCAATAAGCCCTACTGCACTCAATGCAGAGTTAGACGCCGTCCTCAAAGGGATCTTCTCTATTATTCAACATGGTAGTTCTTCGTTCGGTCTCAAAGCGCTCTGTACTAAATTATGGTTCGTACTTCTCCTTACTACGCAGACTTAAGCTTCGGTTCAAACCTCCACTTTGCGTTCGACGGTCGGGTACCAGCAGTAAATTATCCACTGGAAACCATGGTAATGTATGACGCTGTTGTTGAACGTTCAGTAAATTCAACAATTTGGTGAATATCTCTAGGCTAAACTAGCAGTTCTGAATATGCCCTTCGGTGATACCACAACTCCTACTCAGCAGGTACTAATCAGCATAATCCAAAGACTCAGCTGGGTAAAAGCTTCTTTCTATGACGTTTCCGGCTACTTTTTAAGACTAGAGGCTTTTTTTCTAAGCCGTAGGCTTTATTGTATTATGTGCAGCTACTTTCTATGATTTCTGTATTTAATTTGAGTTTTCAATTATGGCGAGGCTACTTTATATGATATTGTCAGAAATGAATTAAGGGAAGGCAGGGTCTTTCCCACAAAGCACATAGTTACAGGTCACAAACCCAAGTACATCCCACAACTGAAGAAAGTCGATGATAGTCGTTATTTACGTAGGAA